TTTTGTTTTGTGGTTTTGATATTTAAAAGTGCAAGACAGCCCAGCAACCTATTTAAATACCTCCTGGAAACTTCCAGGAGATGCAATTCACTCTTTGTGGTCAGAAAATGCTCTGCATAGAGTGGCCAATGAGGTACAAAAGAATCTTGAGGTACCACATGCAACCTAAGGATCACCTTTTGCCCAGCACTGCTGTATTTGTTATGGGAACCCAAAGAGAGAGTGCTGACATGATGAAGGGCTGAGCTATCTCCTCATACCATAAATATTTGACTCCAATTGCTTGTCTATTCACTCTCTCTTTGGGTGGACCCTGCTAGGCCTCAGCCTTTTCACTGTTATAAAAATGAAGAGAAAAGAACAGACAGGGCAAGCAAAATTATATGGTGCATCTGCAGCAATTTGAGCTGCAGCACCACCAAGAGCATCTAGCAGTAGTATCTTCAAACAGTTTTGTGTGGGCAACTGAGCAGCAAAGAACCAGGAAGAAAATTGCAAACAAACAAAGAATTCTCTCATGTCCAGCCCTTCTTACAATGTAGTCCAGCGATGGAAGAGGATGGAAAGGAGGAAGGTCTGTTCCTCCACAGTAGAAGACACAAGAGCGGGGCTGGGGCCGATAAGGCAGGTGATTCATTACAGGATACAGTGTCAATCCCTAGTCCAATGTAGTGGTTTGAGCATTGGACTATGACACTAGAGACCAGGGTTCAATTGCCTGCTCAACCATGGAAACTCACTGGGTGACCTTGGGTAAATCACACACTCTCGGCTCCAGAAAACCCTGTGATATGTTCATCTTAGGATGGCCATAAGTCAGGAACAACCTAAAGGCATACAACAACAATAAAGAAGATAAGTCCACCACCATCCAAGGCAATGTATTCTAATACTAAACAGTTCTTACAGTACAAAAGTTCTCCTAAATGTTTAGGTGTAATCTCTTCCCTTGTCCTTTGGATATACTGGAGCAGCAGAAAGCAAGCCCATGCCATTTGCTAATGACATGTCATCAGATATTTAAAGAAAACGATCATGTTATCCCTCAGGACTTCATTAGACTGAGGTCCATAAGCCAAGGGACAGCGGAGGAATCCATGCAGCAGCGGGAGAAACAATGAGGCAGGACATCATCTCATCCTCTTACCTTCATACAACATTTTCTGGCTGCCCCTGGCTTCCTCCCGCAGTGTTCTCAGCTTAGTGAATGAGAACACTAGTAGTCACCCATATTCTTAGGGCTGCCTCTGCTGCCAAGGTGGAGCTGGGACGGAGCTCCACCAGAAGTAGACCTGCGTTATGTATTGGGCTCCAGTGGGCTCAGTCCTGGGAGCATCTTGGCAACAACCAAGAATGGGGGGAAAGCCCCATGTGATGAAGTCATCCGTCTCCTCTTCCCCAAGCTACATACCCAGCTCCTCATGTTGTTCCACACAAGGCTTAGTTTCCAGACTGTTGACCATCTTGGTTGCCCTTCTTTGGAGATGTTCAGCAGTGATAGCTGGTAGCTTCTATGTCAGAAGACAGAGTAGTGAATCCATTATGACTTCTACTTTGAATATGAAAGCTGCTGTCCTTCTGAAACCCATTCCCAAGAAGGTTTGCACCAACCCCAAAGCAGACTCCCTACACAGGAGACGGCAGCTGCTACTAGCTCAGGGAGTGCTGATAGAGGCTGTCTTGGGCAAACTGCCTAGTTCTCCAACAAGTAGGGAAACACTTTGTCCCTACCACAAAGACTCATGGCTGAACTCTATCCTTGAGTTCTCCTTGGTGCAGGGGCATCACTGTTTGTCCAGTAGACATGTTGGGGGGACATCTGAAATGGTGAATAAGTCTTACATGTCCTTCAATGGACCTTGCTCTCCTTTTGAAATTCAGATCTGAGGCCTGTAACTATTTTGGACTTCAAGTCCCAGAATCCTCCAGCCAGCCAGTCCCCCCCAAAAGAAGGTTTCCCTAACCTGAAACTGTATCAAGATTCCCTTGGTCCTCAGTTGCAGCTTTGCTTCCAAGAGCAGGATACTGACAAAGGCCATGAAGGGCAGGGCCAAAAGCCAAGATGGATGAAGGGATGTTCCTTGACTCAGCTGTTGAGGTGCTCTATCACCACAGTCAAGGCTGTGTTCCAGTTTAGATGATCTTGGGGACTAAGGAGCCAAGAAAGATGAAGGGAACCCACCTCCCCCAATTCACTGTCTTACATCTCTCCTGGAGAAGCAGGAGAGGTCTTGACCCCTCATTTTGTGCCTGTGTATATGTGTGTGTGTGTGTGTGGGGGGGGATGCTCTCTACCCAGCCTTTTCCCTTCCCCTACTCCCATGACCACCCTCAAGTTGAGCAGGCAATCACATGTATGCATTTGTGCCTTTATATGTATAGAGGGTTGCTTTCTACTCATCTATCTCACCCTTCCCCCATGGATATTCTCATGACATTGGCTTGGCTGCCAATCCCATGGAGTCCTCATTCTGTACCTGTATATGTGTGTGTGTGTGTGGGGGGGGGTCACTCTCCCTTCATCTTTCTCCCTCCTTTCTCAAGTTGAGCAGGCAATCCCATGGACTCATTGTATGCATCTGTGCCTGTGTATATATAGAGCAGTGGTTCCCGCAATAATGAAAATATGATCTGTGGCCTCACCATTACTACACTGTTGCCTCAAAACCACACAGCAATGAGAGAGACTGGTCTCCAAAACCCTCTTATAGTGCTGAGGCAACTGGGATGTCGAGAGGGGAGAGGCTGACTACCCACAAAAGATTACTACTACCACATCAGATCTAGATTATTAAATATGGTTTTCTGTGGGCAAGCAGATAACGACTACTGGATGGATATGTCCTATATCAAAAACTAGAGCTGATGTGGTCTATCCAAATGCAATTTTCTGAATCAGCACCCCAAATAACCAAACTGAATCTAAAGTTGGCCAAAATCTGATTTTTAACTCTTTTGGTACTAATGTTGGAGAGTGCTCCCTGGTCAAAGTGGTCCCTGGTCAAAAAAAGTTTGGGAACCACTAGTACAGAGGGTTGCTTTCTATTCATCCTTCTCCGACCTCAAGGCCTGGCTGTCAATCCCATAGAGTACTCATTCTGTGCCTGTATAGGGGTGTGTGTGGGCGGGAGGGGTGTGTGTGGGCGGGAGGGGTGTGTGTGTGGGCGGGAGTCACTCTCCCTTCATCCTTCTCCCTCCCTCCTCCTCAAGTTGAGCAGGCAATCCCATGGACTTCTCATTGTATGCGTCTGTGCCTGTAAATGTATAGAGCAGGCATGGACAAACTTCAGCCTTCCAGGTGTTTTGTACTTCAACTTGCACAATTCTGAATAGCCTCAGGGCCCTTCCTTTCCCCCCTCAGCCCTTTAAGCAGGAAAAGGAGCAGAAAAGGAAGGCACCTGAGGGCCCAAGTTTGCCCATGACTGGTACAGAGGGTTGCTTTCTACTCATCCTCTCCCTCTTCCCTCATGGCCATCCTCAAGGCATTGGCTTGGCTGTCAATCTCATGGAGTCCTCATTCTGTGCCTGTATATATGTATGTATGGGGGGGGGGGGGTTACTCTCCCTTCATCCTTCTCCCTCCCTCCTCCTCAAGTTGGGCTGGCTCCTCATTGTGTGCGCCTGTGTGTGTAGTATAGAGGGTCTCCCTTCATCTTTCTCCCTCCCTGGCAATCCCATGGCCTCCTCATATGTAGCATAGAGGGTCGCTCTCCCCTCATCCTCGTCTCTCTCCCCTCCCAAAGCATTGGCTTGGCTGCCAGTGAGCGCTTCTCTCTCTCTCTCTCTCTGTGTGTGTGTGTATGGAGGGTCGCTCTGCGTATCCTTCTCCCCTCCCAAGGCTAGCAAGCGGGGACTGGCTGCTCTGTGAGCTGCAAAGCTTCATCTCTCCCCCGCCCTCTCTCTGCACGGAGACAGCCAGGGAAAAGGCCCTTCTCTCCTCAAGGACATGGCGATAGGCCACGTCCCGGAGAGCGCGGGCGGAAGGACCCCGAGGAGGAGGGATGCGGGGTCAGCAGGGCCCGGGCCCCCCTCCCCTCCCCAGCCCTCCCTCCGCCTCCCCGTTACCTGTCCCATGCCGGGCGCATCTCCGGGGCGCCTGCTCGGCTCGGCTCTCTTTCCCTCTGCTCTGCTCTGCCTCCTCCCTCCGGCGCCTGGGGCTCGTGGGGTGGGCTGGGCTGGGGTGGGGTGGGGTGTGGGAGGGCCAGCCCGGATCCCGGCTGTGTGCCTCGGCCGCGGCGTGAGGCTGCTGGGCTCGCCAACCTGGCCGTGACGCAAGCAGCAGCGGCGGCGAGCCTACTTAAGGGCGGGCGGCGAGGCGGGCGGGCAGAGACACTCAGGGCCACCTCCGCCTCGGCTGCGCTGCGCCCGGCGACCCTCGCCGCCCTCCCTCCTTCCTTCTTTCCTTCCTTCCCTCTCTCCCTCTCTCTCCCTCTCTCCCTCCCTCCCCTTCCTCCTCCGCCGCCGCCACCCTGGGCCCACGCCGCGGGGCTCCCCCACGCAGGGCGGCCAGGGCCGGCCAGGGATCCTCGCGCCCCAGCCGCCTCCCCATGAACCGCGATGGGGGAATGGACCATCCTAGAGAGACTCCTCGAAGCCGCCGTCCAGCAGCACTCCACTATGATAGGGAGGTAAGAGGGAGACCCTCCTTTGAAGCCCTCCCCTCACTCCCCCCTCCCCTCTGCGCCCTCTTTGACCCCATGCGGCGCCGGAGATGCCGCAACCAGCACCGCGGCTCCCCCTGCCTCCCGTTCCCCACCTTCCCCAAGGCGGGCTGGCCACCCTAGGCGCCTCCGAGCATCCCCAGACCCTCTCAGCCTGGCCGGAGCCCCCAGACTAGGCGGGAATTCACTTTCCGCAGCCCACCCAACGTGTGTCTTGAGCGCTCCCTCTTCCCTGCATGGCTAAGGTTGGCAAGCAACGCTATTTCCCGCGAGTCCCAAGCAACTCCATGGACTCCAAGAGAAACTGGGGTGCCCTCTAAGACTGGCCGGAGCCCAGGAACCTTTCCCCTCCCTGCCGCTATTTCCCGTGCGCTCCAAGCAACCCTATGGAGTCCACCGGAGTTTGGGGTGCCCACTAAGCCTGGCCGGGCCCCAGGAGCCAAGGGGAGCCCCTCTCCCCTCCCAGGCGCTCTTTCCCGCGTGGATTCCAAGAGAGACTGGGGTGTCCTTTAATCCCGGTCGGAGCCCAGGAGCCAATGGGACCCCCTTTCCCCTCCGAGGCGCTATTTCCCGCGTGCCCAAGCAACCCCATGGATTCCCAGGGAGACTGGAGTGCCCTCTGAGCTTAGCCGGAGCCCAGGAATCAATGGGACCCCCTTTCCCCTCTCAAGTGCTACTTCCCGTGAGTCCCAAGCAACCCCATGGACTCCAAGGAAGATTGGGGTGTCTTTTAAGCCGTGACGGAGCCCAGGAGCCAATGGGACCTTTCCCCTCCCTGCCGCTATTTCCTACGCGTCCCAAGCAACCCCATGGACTCCAAGGGAGACTGGGATGCCCTCTAAGGCTGGCCAGAGCCCGGGAACCAATGGGACCCCCTTTCCCCTCCCTGCCGCTCCTTCCTTCCTACTCAACGGTTCCTTGCTTTCCCTAAACTTCCCTGTCGCATCCTGGACCCCCGCGCGCCGGCTTCTTGGAGCTGCCTAGCTTTGATTGCAGAGTTCACAGCTAGTGCAGAGGACTCTTTTAACCTTTCCTGTAATCCTCCCTTAGCTTCCCCCCTTCTTAGCTTTCTCGTTTTTTAAACAAACCCTGGCAAGAACGGAATGAGGTAGGACTCAAAGGGAGCCAAAGTGTGCCTGTGCCGTTTTCCTAAGCAGAGTCACATCGGATCCAGAGCTGGTGATTGCAGCTTGGGGGGAAAAAAAGGAAGGCGCAAGGGTAAAGTAAGGACAGGGCGAGCTCTCTCTCTCTCTTTTTGGTTGGATCTGCTTGGCTCCTCTTTCATCGGGTGGACGAGGAGGGCTGATCAATATGCTGCATACCTCCCATCCGAAAGCTGCCTTGGGTTTGACCAACTTCAGCTCCAGCTGGGAAGAAGGGAGAGAGAGGAAGGGAGGAGGCGAGAGCTTTGAAAGTGTCATTGTGGTTATGGATCTTGCCCTATATAACTCAGATTTGTGCTCCAGCGCTTCCTTCTAGGCGCTGCAAACATCCGTATGGAGGAGGACATGGCTTAGGCGGCCTTTTCTCTGCTGCTTTTGGAACCAAACCTCAGTCTCTCAAAGCAAAAGCGAGGTTGAGGTGGAGGATCAGCACTGGACAGCTCCGCTTTCTTGTGGAAGGAATGGCCAGAAAGATCTCTTCTTTAGCCAGGCTTATTGAAACTGGGGAGAAGGTCAAAACTGCCCTGCTTGAATTAAACCAGGCATGGGCACACTTGGGCCCTCCAGGTGTTTTGGACTTCAACTCCCACCATCCCCAACAGTCTCAGGCCCTTTCCTTTTCCCCCTCAGCCGCTTAAGCGGCTGAGGGGGAAAAGGAAGGGGCCTGAGGCTGTTAGGAATGGTGGGAGTTGAAGTCCAAAACACCTGGAGGGCCCAAGTGTGCCCATGCCTGAATTAAACCCATCTATTTATTTATTATATAGAGATGGATCTTAAGAATCACCTTTTTAAATGTTGTATCAATAGCATTGCACACATAAAAATAAAACTGATAAAAATAGAAGGAACACAAGTGGCTAAATAATTTTTGACCAACAGCAACTGCATTGTCTGTAGCTTTAAGTGATTCTTCCTCTGTGCATGAGGCAGGGCATTGTGGACAAGCGTACAGGTGCGGAGTTGTTTGTTCTACTCCACAGTCACACAAGGTGGAGGATTCTTTTTTGGTAGTGCCATTAAGAATCGCAATTATTATTTTATTGTCACAGGCTTTCATGGCTGGAAACACTGGGTTGCTGTAGGTTTTTCAGGTTATATGGTCATGTTCTAGAAGCTTTCTCTCCTGATGTTTCGCCTGCTTCTATGGCAAGCATCCTTAGAGGTTGTGAGGTCTGTGAGGACCTCACAACCTCTGAGGATGCTTGCCATAGATGCAGGTGAAACGTCAGGAGAGAATGCTTCTAGAACATGGCCATATAGCATGAAAAACCTACAACAACCTAATATTATTGATTATTTATTTACTTCATTTCTATCCCGCTCTTCTCACCCCTCAGAGGACTCAGAGTGGTGTACAACATACATCTAGGCAAAATTTCAATGCCCCATTATACAAACCATATAAAACATAACATAAAATCACTAGAAGCAATAGACATATAAATACAACTTAAAACATATTAACCCCATACACAAATAACACATTGCACCAATCCCAAAATATGTCCTAAAAGAATCCTTGATTATCAAATTTAGTTCACAACCACAGGGATCGTGATAATCAAAATTGTAAATTAAATTAAATTAAATTAAATTGAAATGGAAAAAATCAGGAAGGGAGTGATTTGTAAAGATATCTGGAAATATCTTTACAGATCAAAATGCCTTTGCTTGTTTGTGGAAAAAAATGTAAAGTGCTTAGATGGATAAGACTACTTTTAGGGGAGCATCTAGTTCCATTTCTGATACTGGCCAGATCAAAGCAATAGGGAAGTCCATGAATAGATGTTGTTGTTGTTGTTGTTGTTGTTGTTGTTGTTGTTGTTGTTATTTCTACCTTGCTCCTTTCTTATGGCGTGATTATGGTTCCCATTTCACCCTGCATGACCTTACTGTGTAAAAAGATCTACTGTCTCTAAATGCTGAAGCTTCCCCCTTCTGTCTACGTTGGCTAGCAAGCAACCACCAGCAGACATCTGCATTGAGCATTTAAGTTAGTGGTTCCCAACCTGTGAATCATGATCCACTGGTGGGCCAGGAGACCTAAAATAACGTCTGTGGCTCTAGATCATTAAATATGGTTTTCTGTGGGTGAGCAGATGTCGACTACTGGATGTCATATGTTCTGTATCAGAAACTAGAGCTGATGTGGTCTATCCAATGCAATTTATTGAATCAGCACCCTAAATAACCAAACCTATTCTAAAACTGACCAAAAACGGATTCATAACCCTTTTGGTACTAATGTTCGTGAATGATCCTTGGTCAAAGTGGTCCCTGGTCAAAAAAAGGTTGGGAACCATTGTTTCAAGTTCTTCTTTTAGCAGTGGCAAGGTTCTGTACTAATGGTCCCCTTAGTTTTTCTGTGGCAATGCAATTCTTTCAGAGTTCCTCTTCTGCCCTGTACAAGTCACACTCACCCAACCTTTATTTTGTAGGATTCTGCTGACCGTGGTGGTGATCTTCAGGATTCTTATTGTGGCTATTGTAGGAGAAACGGTTTACGACGACGAGCAGACCATGTTTGTGTGCAACACTTTGCAGCCAGGGTGCAACCAGGCGTGTTACGACCAAGCATTCCCTATTTCTCACATTAGGTACTGGGTGTTTCAGATCATCATGGTGTGTACTCCCAGCCTCTGCTTCATCACATACTCGGTCCACCAGTCAGCCAAGCAGAGAGAGCGGAGGTATTCCACCGTCTTCCTCACTCTGGACAGAGACCAGGACTCTATGAAACGGGAAGACAGTAAAAAGATCAAAAACACCATTGTCAATGGGGTGCTGCAAAATACTGAGAACTCCACCAAGGAGGCAGAACCAGACTGCTTGGAAGTGAAAGAAATCCCCAACCCAGCCATCCGAACGACAAAGTCAAAGATGAGGCGGCAAGAAGGCATCTCCAGATTTTATATCATCCAGGTGGTCTTCAGAAATGCCCTGGAGATTGGGTTTTTGGTGGGACAATATTTCCTGTATGGATTCAATGTCCCATCTATGTATGAATGTGATAGGTATCCTTGCATTAAGGAAGTGGAATGCTATGTCTCGAGACCCACGGAGAAAACTGTCTTCTTAGTCTTCATGTTTGCCGTCAGTGGCATTTGTGTGGTGCTCAATCTGGCAGAACTGAACCATTTGGGCTGGAGGAAAATCAAAATGGCAGTGAGGGGAGTGCAAGCCAAACGGAAATCAATATATGAAATCAGGAACAAGGACCTTCCACGAATGAGTGTGCCTAACTTTGGCAGGACTCAGTCTAGTGATTCCGCTTATGTGTGATACTGTGGACAGTACCATAGTACTTTGCTGGGTACCGTTGACTTAGTGGACATTTGAATTAGGAAAGAGCATTGCTTAAGCAATTATTTCCTCAAAACACCAAGAAAGCCGTTAAGGTACTGGATCTGCACTTTCTAACCACATGCAAACTGAGTGCTAAATAAAAGACTGGTGAAGAAACAGCTATACAACACCTTCAATCTGGCCTTACTGCTCAGTTACGTTTGTCCTAATGATCCAACACTGTTTTGTTGATGGACCAGCTTTAGGGCAGGGTCTGTTTGCCTAATTGACAGAAATGTATCCAGAATGTTTTAGTTTTAAATGGCAGGGAAGCCATTTCTCGAGGGGGAGGGCTGGGAGAGGGTTTTGCAGCAATATAAAAATGCAAGCATGTCTATAAAATGTGGGGTTGGAGTTAGAGGTTTGCACTATCCAGGCAAATGGCTACAATGTCCACCAGTACGTCTGTGAGCTTCATCTCATGGATGCCTGATCTCACACTGTCTGCCTGTGTGACACAGGTAATTACTGTGTATGGTTAGCGTTTTTTCTACCGTTGTTTTTTGTACAAAAAACAATTATACAAAACAATAGCGCTGAATATAATTTTGCCATGATTTTTGGTTTTGCCTGTCTGCTCACACCAGAGACCTTAACCATCTAGCTTAATCATTGTGCTAGCTGTGACCTACCAAATTCACAAATAAATAGTTACAGAAAACACAGTTCCCTGCTGTGTCCGGAAGCGAGATGAAATGACCTAAAGTTCAGCCAAGTTATGCATTTAACTACATTTTGAAACACAGACACACACACCGTATACCAAAGGAGCAGAATTTATCGCTATTAACTGTGAACAGATTCACCGCCTCTTTGCTCTTATTGATGTAAGTGCCATACTTGAAGTTAAAGCATCTAACTATTTAGTCAAAGGCTTAGCTAGGGGTCCCAACTTGAAATTATAGGTTTTTGTATTTTCCTTTTGTTTGGATCAAGCTATTTTTGGTTTTGGTTTTCTCTAGTTATTGCAATGGTGTAAAAAAAAACAAAAACAGCTGATAACTATATTGATAAAGCAATTGCCTTTTTAAAAATAGAAAGTTAACTTTCTTTTATATAATACACACACATATATATATTAGTAGCATTGCATTGTTATATCAAGATACAGTTTATATGGATATCTATCTAAAACATAGGGATGATTCTGTTATAGCCTCTTTTGTATTTATAGCCTGGATAACATCCAAAACATCTGGATAGCCATTTACAGGGTTGTTTTTTTTTTACAATGACATGGTGCTATCGTAGGGCAATGAATTTGGAGAATTCAGTGATGCGGCATGATCCAGACAGTGCAGATTTAACTATTTGTGTATATGCATGTGTGTGTGGATATCCCCTCTCTCTCTTTCTCTGCCCTCAGTTTATTTATTATTTTTCATAATGTGAGCCCATCGAGGACAGCAAATTATATATCTCAAGTATAATTTCAGTTATCTGGCCTTTGACTAGGATGGATTATGATTCCATTCTGTATATATGTGTTCAACACATATCAGATTATGGTTACAGGAATGTATGTATTCATATACAGAAACTCATAAGGATTAGCTCTAGGAATGCAAAACATCACTCACATTAATTTTAAATACCTGGGCAATTTAAAGTTACAGACTTTTGATACATTTCTAATTTAATTTAAATATTAGTTCTATTATGTGATCTAAAAGCTACATAAGGAAACATAAGGAACCCAAAAATCTTCTAGGTGATAAACCACCTGACTGGCTGAGCTCCACACTGTTTCATCTATAGACAATATTCACTATGTTGTCTATGAGATCAACTAATAGTTCAGTGCATTGCAGGAGGTGGACATTTGAGAGGTGGGGGAAACAGTTAAAACACTCAGTGTTTTTACATTTGCCAGCTCAGACATCTCTACTTCTACCTTTTGTGTGTTGAAAGTGGAAATTCCAAGATAGATTATATTGTATGAGGGTGGGTCAAAAAGTTTTGCCTTCTGTGTCATAAAAACACTATGAATGAACATATAATAGCAGAAATTGCTACAGATTGTCACCTGAATTGTCCTCTACTCAAAGCTACCATTCAACATAGTCACCATCAATTTGTACACATTTGCACTATCATTTAACTCAGGCATCAAAAACCTTTTGGAAAAAAACAGGGTTTTGCTTCGTGACCCATGATTTTAAAGCTGTTTAAGGCCCTGATTTGGCCCCTTCAGACTTTTATCTGTTTGGACCTCCGAAAGACAACCCACATGGTTTCAGATTCAATGACCTGAATGTCGTTAAAATAGCTTTAAAATCATGAGTCGTGAAGCAAAACCCTGAATTTTTCCAAAATGGTTTTGATGCCTGGGTTAAATGATAGTGCAGATGTGTACAAATTGATGATGACTATATTGAATGGTAGTTTTATGTAGTTTTGTTCAGGATATGATCTGCAGCAGCTTCTGCTGTTATATGTTCATTCATAATGTTTTTATGACACAGGAGGCAAAACTTTTAAACTCACCCTTGTATTTCATTTGAAGACATTTAGAATTTCTTTCCAGACCTTCATGTTCACAACATAAAGACTGGGAGTGGATGGATATAGCTGGGGCATGTAAGGACATTGGGCTGCACCCCTAGGTCACTAACATATATGTGTGTTCTCAAGTGTTTAGGCTGAACACTTGAGTGGGACTTCTAGATCATATTTATCTGAAATCTGGTACCTATATTACGGAGAAAGAAATACATGGCTCTCCCCCTTTCTTGCCTCCACAATAATGTGTACAGTGGGAATAATGTTTGCAGATAGTTTTGCCTATCTGTACAAAATATTCCCAAAACATCTGGATACCCCAACTGAATTTTAGTTACATAATTTCAGATTGGCAATTTGGCCTTAAATCACATTTGAGTTTTATTAATATTTATATTTGTCTAAAACCACACAAATTATTCCTACTCCTGTCCAGATAATCTCCTTACCTTGAATGCATATTGACATTGATACCTGAATGCAGAAGAGATCACATCATTGCTTCCAATGGGATGCACATTTTGGCAGATATCCAAAGGTGCACCCACACTCTGGTGCAAATAGTTTTATGTAATGACACACAATGACTATTATTATTATAATTGTCATTCATACATAATTTTCCTGAAAGGTTTAAGGCAACATGAACTAGATTGGGGAGCCGAGATAGCAGTGAAGGGTCATACAGTACAAAGACCAAGACACACAAGCTTTGAATACAGGTAATCCATAATTAAAGGATGGGAAAAATTCCACTAAGTTTACGTTATGATTGTTGCTGGAAATGAGACTGTCTGTTATAAAATGGTCTCCAGTGTTGGGTTAACATGGTTATGTGCTTGCCTTTTTAAATAGACAAGCTTCTGTGTTCCATTTGCATTTATTTTGGTGTACAGTTCGATAATTTTGGAAAAGAAAATGCATCAATCACTGTATTATGACTTACACTTGTGAAATTTGATCCTGATTCTATTTCAATCATGGAAGTACTGGGAAAATTCAAGGCATGCCACTTAGAGTTGTTTATTGCAGGCAGCTTTTTACATCAAACAAGGAGCTCTTAATGAACTGTTATTGTGTGATTGCATTTGGAAAATGGCCATAAGCATCTCACTTAAATGTCAATTAGGCTTAGATGGGAGCAATACGTGATGGACGGACTGTTATCCCTAAAATCAAAAATATAATTTATGTGATGTAGCATCAAGCTGGTTCACACATAGCCTGTAAGTCTCTTATTATGCTTTATTGTACACCTGAAAACTGGCCACACCTTGCCTTTAGTAAAAAGTATGGTGTTCTAAGGGTGTGTGTGCAGTGTTACTCACACTAGTGAGGTTTTCACACATGCAATCCATCATTTAATATTCTGACCCGAAAGCAATGAATATACATTTGTATCACCAGTTCATTTACTCCTTTAGGTGATCCTGTGTCACTGTGATATAGCTGTGTTAAGATTCAGGATCTTGGTTGCGTGCATTATTTCTCATTTACAATGGACAAACTGAGGTCACAGTAATACAGGGGGCAAAGAAATTTTTTTAGAAGGGTCGAGGAACTACAGATTCCTTTCACATTTCTACTCTTGCAAGGCATCCTTGCCAAATTCTCTGGATATCCATATCTCACAGCATCTCCTGTGCTTCATCACCCAGTTTTCCAGACAGGAAATACAATATTTATAAAATTTAAATATATTCTATATATTTCATCAAAATAGATAAAACGGATCTCAGGGTGACTTATCACACTAAAACCAATCAAACAGTTTAAAATAATAAAAAGAATTTAAACAAGCTGAAAGTATTTTAAATGTAATTATGAGTTACAACAGATGTAAAAGACTGAAATGATTTAAAAACTCTGTACATCAATATTTGGGATTAATTAATGAGACTTTGAGGAACAGGCAAGTTTTCACTTGATGCCTAAATGAAATGAGTGTTGGCACCAGTTGAACATCCAAAGGCTCCACTGTTAGATGGTCCTCTCCCATGTCCCTTGTCCCACCACAGTATATTGACCTCACTGATGGGACAGAGAGGATGCCTCTCCTAGCAGACCACAATCCCATTGGACAGGAACATATAGGAAGAAATGCTCCATCACATATTAAAGTCCTAAGTTATTTAGGGATCTAAATGTCACAAGAACCTTGAATTCAGACCAGAAATGTATTTTGAGGTGTATAGTGGGCAAGGAGTACTAGGGAAGCACTATTGTACAAGGAGGGCTCCTCTCATCTCTGGAGTTAGTCCTTTAACATGCATCAAAATGAATGTTTTATAATTGATTATCAATCCATGTCACCATTTAAAAATATTTGTTGTCCCTCCCAACATATTCCTGCTATCCCCAATGTATTCCAATTATCCAGTAATAAGTAACTGCAGAGCATGAATGTTATTTTTAGAAGGCAAAACATGGCAGCTAAAAATTTCCATCTGTAATATAACAAGCTCCTAAAGATTATTTTTTTATATAGGAAAAATATTCTCAGCAAATCTGATTTTCATTTTATACACTACTGAAATAATCTTTAACCGCTAATTTAAATAGAAATTATATTATTGGTAATATCAGTAATAGTAGTATTAGTAGTAGGATTAGCAACAGTAGGCACAGTAATAGTGGTAGTAGCAGTAAGTAACAAACAACTATAATGCACAATAAGCAATAGGCTATATACTCAGTGAAATCAATGGCAAAATAATACCTCTGGATTTCATTAGTTCTGGGTCATACTCAGCATTATTAACATTGTACAGATTCCATAGTATTAGATCCCTATCATAGTTTCCCATTAGTATATGTATGGGGAAAAATGATGAAGGCATGCCTTGAAACCTATCAGATGATATATTCCAATGCTTTTAGTGAAAAGCACAAAAATGGTACTCAAAAAAGCAATACTGGTGATTTTCCCCATTGCCACGACAGCAGCTTTTATATAGGTAATGCACAACTTGTTTACTAGACTGGAAACATGCAAATGGATGGGAATAAAGTGGAATATTAACTTCAGCCAACTGTGCAGATGTGTTTGCATGCATGGAATACTACAGCATTGTTAATACACGGAAATCCTTAACCCCATAGGTTTTATTGGAAACTCAAATAAATGTATTTATAAATGACAACAGAGAATCTTATTTCAGTGACAGAAAAAGCAGCTAATATGGTTAGAAAACAGTTTGGAGATTCTAGACTTCAGCTAACCACAGTTGCCATTAAGGATGGTACACTATATATCTCAGCCAGTGTTATGAGTAGGTTGGAGTGAAAGTATGTTCTGGAGCTTGGTGGATCCTTTATCCAAAGCTATTGTTTGGTGTCTTATTTGCCTTCCTTCTCAGTTTCAGGCTCATCCTAGCTTCATGTCCCACCGGGGAGCATACAGGAGGGATGATATTTCAGTCTGTGATTATTTTTTGAAGTTGCAATAGCATTGTGGGGTGTCTGTGGCTGTAAGAAGTAAGTAAGGGAAAGAAGGAAGGAAGGGGGCAAGAAACACGTGAGGAACTGGAGTTAGGCAATTTAGCACTTTTTGAATCAAATCCAGTTCATAATTTCAACTAAAGGGGAGCCGTTGATTTCATGCATCTATTCCAACTGACACTTTGAGTTAGATTGAGGGCATTATGGCTTCGCAGGGCCCATTTCTTGGAACTGAATGTTAAACACTTGGATCAGTACAACTTTCCTCCAAGGAGAAGGAGATCAGAACTTCTCCACCTCACCACAGAATGTATAGTCAGCCCTCCACATTCACTGATGTTAGGAGTGAAGGATCCCCATGAAAATGGAAAAAACCATGAATTAAAAAAGATATATTTTTTACATAAGAGAACATCTCTCTAGGCATCTAGGCACTTCAGTGTGACTCAGTGGTTAACTTCCATTGGATGTTGGCCATAGAATTGTGCTGAAGGAATCTAGAGATTCCTAAAAAGAACATATCAATAAAATTTGCAGAAGTTAAACTTGAAAATGTGGAGGGCTGATTGTAATTCTTTTAATTACTTATCTTTGATTTTATTTTCCTAGCTCAAAAAAGCATGATTATGTAACAGATGGTGGGGGCTTCATCCAACACTAGCCCTTTATCAAGTAAAACCGTTGAAACAAATAAGATTGAAGTTAGTTGTGATTAACAAAACCAACTAATTTCAATGTAGGTATGACTACATTGTGTCAGGAGCTATTTGAGAAATTGCAAGTTGCTTCTGGTGGGAGAGAATTAGCTGTCTGTAAGGATGTTGCCCAGGGGATGTCCAGATGTTTGCTGTTTCACCATCCTTGTGGGAGGCTTCTCTCATGTCCCTGCATGGGGAGCTAGAGCTGACAGAGGGGGCTCAACCTGCTCTCCCCAGATTAAAACCACTGACCTATCAGTCAGCAGTCCTGCTGGTACAACTGTTTAAGCAATTGTGCCACTATTTTTCTTCAAGGAGATACAATACAATGGTTGTGGTGTGTGCATTTCTACTGAATGAAAACTTTGAAGTTTAAGAAAATCACAGATGTTGTTTGTTGAACTAGAGTTAATTCCATATCCTGGATAAATGTCTGTTTGTTAATAAAAGTGTGTGTTATTTGCTGTAAAGCCAATTTTACTTGAGGAGCCTTAAGGGGTTATATTGATTTTGCCTTTAACTACCATTTAGTGGCATTAGAAAAGAAGCAAAAGAAGTAATTTCTGGTCACGCTGTTTTGGGTTGGGTGAATTAAAGAGTGGTCAGAACTACAGCAAAATGTATTACTATGACAGGGTATGAAAAAAAGATTAGTAAAGTTACAAGCTAGAAAAGCAAGGGTAAATGAGGATTTACTAGCATTATGAAAAGAAATAAGCAGGCGGGACATGAACATCCTTGGGTTTCCGATGTCTCTGCTCTTGCAAATTATCTTTGTTAGAAATTAAATCATGTACTGAAACACATGTGTGAGGAATTTTACAAGGATTCTCGTATTATCTATTATATAAGGAAAATAATTTTTAATGTCCCTTGGCAATTTTTCCCGTGCTTCTTAGAAACAGTTGCATATTACATTTTTTCTAAAGCCACTAATAATACTAATGTCTTGTAAAGTGTACTGTTAAGTGTTTCTGGGCAACTAAAATTGAATAATAGCACTATGACAGTGTAGTCAAAACGGGCCCAACAAATTCATATAAATATCGAAAACAGCCAGTAAGGACCTCATTACACAAGGAGATGGGGAAAGGGGCAGGTAGCATATTTTTCCTGTACATTCTGTGATGTTCTGTTTTGAAAGAGTATGAAGATTTTATTCACAGGATGAACCTCTGTCTGTTTCTAGTAAAATTATGTGCTTCATTCATAGACGGCTATTGTCTTCTCCCATTTTGTCATCCATCGAGTGCCCACATCACATCCTTTTTATTCATTTTTAAAAAACTGTGGAATTATGAAATTAATAAGGCAGAATTCCACATGTTCAAAATTGCACCATTACAGCTACATTTAAAAAAAAAAATCCTATACTCAACAAGGTTGTTCTGTGTGTCCGAGGAGTGATGGTGGCAGTCGGAGCATTGAGTGGAATGAAAAAAACACCCATGATGCACTCCCACAAAATGACAAGAAAATGGGCAAAGGCATGATTCTCCATCCCATGGAAAAAGTAATCATTTCAAAGTGCACAGTGATGAATGGAGGTGTTTCCCGTTCGTCTTTCAAATCCCCCTATTTCTAAACCCCATGGAACTCCATGAAATGGATTTTGTGCGTCATTTGAAGAGATCAATAAGAATTTATTTTTAAAGTGTTTAGAACTGAAGCCCACCTTCCATGTGGTGAGGTCCTAAGTGATGTTAAGATTTTTATTTTGGGACCCCAACATTGACCTAATGGGACCCCATTTGGGGTCAGGTCCCACGATTTAAGAAGCACTGGTCTAGAGGGAACACTATTTTTAGTAGTACTTTATTAGTTATGGTGAAATGCTGAAAAAGGCATACAATGGGAGAAATCCCACAAGAAAAAGTAAACATTTGTGTGCTTAGACAGACTTGTGTCAAAACTGGAAAAATCTCACAAGGTTGAGAAATTGACACAATTGTTTGTACACTATTGTGGTGAGAGCTACAGGAGGCCATTTTAGCTCTCTGGTAAAATACATATTTTGTTTACATATGGTCCAAGGCTCAGTCCCATAACTGAAAGGAATTTAATTACAGGCCTTTAGTCAAAGCTCTAGAGGGCGGTAACGCTGGTCACAGCTGAACAAGAGGTGCCAATAATATGATGTGGTTAAGGGCATTTTCATGTGTTCAGAACCGTAAAATAATCATGAAGATCCCACATTACCTAGTTGGTTACAAATGTATACTAAGTAATGTCATCACGATCATCCCTCCAAACCTACCAATGGAGGCCTGTTGTCCAGGTGATTGGGATGAAGTAGGGTGATGTTTCTGGGCCTCTTGAATATGGCTGTGAGAATCAGTTTTGAACAGGTTTTGCTTCTGATTGCCACAACCTTATATGGTATTGGGAGCTGACTGAAAACATCATCCTTCTGCATCTTGATTGGCAACAGAACAGATCTCCATCACTTGATGTAGTCTGGCTGAAGGGGGTGGATATGCTATCCATTTTCCTTATAAACAGAACAAAATGGAATGCTATGGCAATAAGTTGATCCCCTCCTCCCCACACACACCATTTATGATCATGGCAATAGTGATTATGAATTCAGAGTATTACTGAATATGGAAGAGTAGTAGATCTGTAACCGCAATCCAAGATGTCCCTCAGGTGTTTTGTACTTCAACTTACAGAAGCCTCAGCTTCCTGCCACTAACCATTTTAGAACTTATTTTGTAATTTTTGTGTTTTAGAAAGTTGACTCACACCTTTCAAGGCAACACTTTTGCTTGAATATCATTCTTCATGACATCACCAAAGATTACCCCTTGTAACATCATCCTTGTAACACATCACTGTGATATGCTTGCTGTAACACAGGGGTTATTTCCAGATATTAAGGTAATCTTCACTGAAAAATCTCTGTCTAAAACAGGGCTTTAAAAAAAGATAAAAGTTAAAAATCAGCTTCTTACCATAGTATTTAATTCTGTTCCGTTTATAAGGAAAATGGATAACATACCCACCACATCACATGTGATGTACTTTTGTCTATTTCTACTGTAATCCTCCACTTTCTAAGCTATCACACAGGCAAGAGTAGTCCCTTCCTATTCTATATTCTTTTTTAAAAGGGAAACTTTGCAATTGTGGAAGTAAGAAATCTAGGTTTTAAAAAGGGGGGAAATATAGTCACAGTGAAGTGGTGATATATCAAAATTGTGCAATGCCTGAAGAATAAATTATTTTTAAAATTAAAAATTTAAAAGTTTCATGCAAGAGAGTTACTGGTGAGAATAGGAGCACAGAGACTCATTTTGAGACTGCCCATAGGAACACTCACTCAATGTCACTGACAATTCCCATCCCATGTGTAAATAAGGGCCTTTACCCGAATTGTGAGCTTTGAAGATGATTGCTCCCTGACTCTTAAAACATCAGTTTCTACACACTTTAACCACATTTTAAAGATGGAGTCCTATGGGGAACATGTGGGAGTAGTTTTGTGCCATATGATGGGCTCTGTGAAACTCCATCTTTTAAAAAAACTGTATAGAAAAAGGAGTGGGTGGGTTCCTGCATCTCAAGAGGTCCATTACCTCTTTTCCATATCTCATCTCTTTGGTGTTTCCTGTCCACTTTGGTTTGACTCCTATATGACTTGTTCTCCTCCTCCTGAAAAGAAAAATGGGTTCCCCTAAAACCGTAGAGACCAAAATCCACTGATTGTGGTAATGTGAAAGTATTTAAATTAACTCAATGTATACATTACAAATACATATATCAACAAAACACAGAGCTGCCACATTCACATTAAACAGAAACAATTGGTTCTTCTTCTTGAAGTATGAAACAAAACCTTAATGTGAGTAAGAATAGTCATTGAATGACCATAAATGTCCTATTCTTTATTGCATATGAGTAAACTCCAGTAGTCACGATAGGTGTCCTATTCCCTTCATTACACACGAGTCGACTCCAGCCTGCTTTGTTCTCCCCCCCCCCCCATAAAATAGGTTGCTGTC